TCCTTGATGACTTGAGTAGTGAGTGGTGACCTCATTACATTGCTATTTGAGGGGAAGAAACTGCCAGAATTTTCTTAAACCCCGAGCTCGGAGTTTTCCTCCCTTTTCATTTTCCATTTTCTGAAGCTTTCTGGTGGTTGGGGAAAGTAGTGCTGGTGAGATGTCCATAACCTCTCCCCACGAGGAAGTGCGACCTCTTCCTTTTTGGCTATTCCAGTGCAGTGAGAATTCCATCAACCAGACCTGAACCTCTTCGGAGCCTCCCTCCGCCTGGGAGGCACCGCCTCTCTAATGGACATTTAATCAGTATTTGTGGAATTCAAGAGGGGGCACTCGAGCTCCAGTGGATTAACCTGGCGCCAATGCCCATGAAGAGCATGGCTGGTGGTGATGGGGGAGGAAACAGGAATGCCAGGAACCAATGGCCAGAGCTTCCTCCCTCCCTTCCAAGCCAACTCCATTGGAGGCTGATCCCCCGCCCATCTTAGACAACGGGGAATCCTGGCCCCTGATGATGACCAAGTAGTCCTGGCCTTTTAGCAGGTGTTTGTCCCCAAAGACTGCTCTGACTCTACGGGCATCTTCCTGAACCATCATCGCCGATTTGGTTCATCTCTTTGGCACAGAAAGGTGATCTTGACAAAGTGCTACTAGTTTCTGTGTAAAGGCAGCCACTGGATGTCCCAGGACTCCAGCGACAGAAAGCCTTCTTAAAATACGAGAACAAAAGTAAGGCCAACAAAACTGAAGGCGCTTTGGTTGTTGGTCACATGGAGGAGGCTGGGACAGAAAGTGAGGCATACTTCCCTCCTGCCTGGCATCTCTCCCGCAGAAGCACTGGGTATCATCAGAGGACCCTGTGCCCTTTTCTGGGTACCAGGCTTTCCTAGTGCCAGCAAGGGAAGTGCTCTCGGGCGTGTACAGGAATGGAGGGGATGGATATTTTTCTTGCTCTCTCCTTTTACCACTAGGACAGAGAAAACGAATACTGGACAGCTACGCTAAAACACTTAATCTGCCTTGGGTAGAAGGAATCAATTTCCTGTACTGAGTGCTTCCCATAAAACGAGGGTTATGGGAACGAGTTCTCCCTCCCCCATGAATGCTGCACCATAGCCTCCTACTGGGAACAGCCAAGGTCACTCAGGAGGCTCACAGCCATCAAGGCATGGACAAGATCATCTTAAAAACATCCTGAAATCCTTACCTGGGGGCTTGCTTGCTGGGACTTGCTTGCTTGCTGTCCTCCTTGCTGGGCAAATGGCCCGCAGTGCCACAGTCAGAGGGCAGCAGGGAGGAGGAGGAGGGACAACAGACCAAAGGTACACTTTTGCTGAGATGAAATGTGGGGAGTTAATGGTTGATGTCCCTGTACACAGATTTAAATAACCCCAAAGGGCATGGAAAGGTTTATGTAATTCTTTGGAAGAACATGTATTTCAAGTACACACTGAATCTAAAATAATTTTCAACTCTCTTTCAAACCAACCTACTGAGCTCAAGGAAGGTCATCTAAAACTCAGACACACTTTTAATCTACTTAAAAAAATGGACAGGAAAAATAAAATTTCAGATGTTTTTTATTCAAAGGTTCTCAAAGGAAATAAAACAGAAAAAGCTAACAATCTGATCAAATGTACAGTTCAAAAATGTCTTTTGGCGTTTAACAACAAGTCCTAGGAAAGAAAACTACAGAGTTATCTTGAACCGGACAAATAAGTTACCACTGGCAAGTTTGTGGCACTAGTAAAACAAAATAAAAAATTAACTCTCTTGATCATATAGATATCTCTATGAAAATCTTTTTTTTTTCAATCTGTACAAAAGGTCTTTCTTCATAAATTAATTTTTTTTTATAATTTAATGGCTGTCTACTATGTGATGTTTAACTGACTTTTTTTTTCTTTTTATGTACAGAGGTTATGTTTCCCAAATCTTACCCAGACGAGTATGGCACTTAGTTCAGACATTTCTAGCAGCAGATTTGCCCTCCCCTCCAACTGAACTATCAAATTTCTGTCTTAACTAATGCAAAAATATCAAGTAGTGAGAGACCCGGGTTTACAAATGTACTAGGTACACGGAGGGCACTGCGTTCAGTCTGGACTTCCACAAAGCAGTAATATTCCAGGGAGCATAGAACCAATAATACCACAACTTTAAAAAAGGAAACAAAAACAAAAACAAGAAACACATTTCTCTTACGACTACGTAATTTTCAATAGAATCTACACTTCTCAGAGCAGCAAGGACTTTTGAAACTATGAAATGTCACTGACATCTAGAATCAAATACAAGCATAAAATTTAAGAACTAAAAAATACTCGAAAGAAATAACTGCTTAGCCCTAGCTCCTGAGCTAGGAGGATTTGGTCTGTGGAAACAGGGAGGGCCAGCAACCTGTCCCAGCACAAAAGAAAATAGACTCTGAGGTAGATAACTGATCACACACAGTTGACCAGACAAGTACACAGTTTTGGAAGACAACTTAATTTACCGTCGCTTTTCAAACGTATGCAATTATCTTAATAAAAGAGCTTTAATAACAGTGAATCATCTTGTATGTACTAAAGTAGAAATAACTGTGTATTTATGAATCAGGAATTTCATAGTTTCAAAATTGTTTTTTTCTTTACACTTAACACTTGTAGTGATGATGTAAAGTGTGGCACTGCTTGGATCCAAATCTTCCTTCATGCTTTTTTTTGTTTGTGTGTGTCCATACATCAATTAAAATTATAAAACCTAAATGCAAAGGTACAAAAAAAGGCACATTCTCCTAACCGCAAACTGGTCCGGCAAAAATAAAAGAGCACAGAAGATGTGATGCTGAGACAAGTTGGAGCTACTGGTTACTGGCTCTTCGGTCTTTGGTGAAGTTACCTTTAAAAGTGCCAAGTAATTTTTATTTCTCAAATTTACGTAATAGAGAGAGGAGAGAGAGAGAGAGAGAGCTAGTAGCCAATCGTTTTGCTTCTATCCATATCTCAGCGAATGTTTGAAGATAAAATCCTTACTTTTAGCTTTTGCCATTTAGTTGCAATACCAACATTTTTCTGTTTGCCAGATCTCAGGCCTAATTCGCATTCTAAAGCACTATCATTAGTATAAAGGAAGGACAAAACATTCGGGGACTCCCCTCCCCCACCCCCCACCCCCTGTCCCAACACTACCTACACTAAATCTAGAACATCAGGTTAGGTTTTTTTTTTTCTTCTTCTGAAAAAAGGCAAAAAAGACTTTACATTGCATCATACAGCAGATATCCTAAATCAGTCAAACTATCAGAGGAAACCGTTGGCGTACAGCCATACAAACAATTTACCCTATTAAAAGTTCCCCAGTCAGAAAATGTGTTTCACACAAATCGTTTTTCCCTTCTTGCATTTCACTACCTTACACGTTACGTGAAAAATCATTAAAAACACCTACTACGTATTTAAAAAAGCCAAAATTTCAGCAACTTTTATTGACTACCTTTTAAAAGCCCTATGCTGCTGTTTTACAAGGCATAATAGACCAGCTCATTTGGTCAAAGCATTCTACATCATTAGTTTGAACTAACTTTTACTGAAACAGCTACAGCATCAAAAGAGTTAAGGCAAATTGGAATTCATAGAAAAGGATAAGACACTTCACACTACACTGAAAGAAAAACGGAAAGCGAAGAAAAGAGACACGGACGGCAACACTGAATTACAGCAACACTCGCACTGCAAGCACAGAACACGGTGGGTGAAGTCGGACTAGTGAAACGTCAGAAAGCCCATTTCATACAGCGGGGAAAACACAAATTAAACACAAAATGAACAAAACCACAAAAATCCGGTCATGCACTTGGATAAGTCTTCATGGTCTTTGTGCATACCCAGAAAATTGAAGTTCTCTTTTTTTTTTTTTCTCCATTTTTTTCTTTTCTTTCTTTTTTTTTTTCTCCTTTTTTTTTTTTTTTTTCCATTGTAACATTTGATAAAAATCTTTTTTGTTTTTTTTGAGGGTTTTTTTTTGTATTTTTTTGTATTTTTTTTTTTACTAAAATAAACCTGTTCAGGGGAACAGCTACTAGATGAATTTAAGGGTTTTATGCACCTTATAGAACTTATAGCAAAAATAGTTTTAGTTGATTTCATTATAAATAACGTTTTCAAGAACCTGTGCAAAACTGTCAATAATTTCCTAAAGCACAATTGATCAGAAAAATCCATGATTGTTCAGCCTTCAGACCCTTCTTCATGTAAGAACATCCTTCTGTACATCTGAAAGAGAAAAATGAAAGACAAAGGCTTTTGTACATTTGATAGAACACACCACAGAGCTTTGTAATCTCTTTTTGGTTTTAAAGATAAAGGTGTTTAGAAAAGGCTGTGCTAATCCTGGCCAATAAATGCAACTGAGGGTCACTTTCTATGGTTCTACAACTTTGAAATCTGGAACCTGAAACATACTTTCGTCAGAACAACGAGAAACCCAAGTTCCGTCCACTTATTTTAGTGCAATCTGTGTGGTAAAGTAAAAAGGTGTGAGATTTGTGGTCCAAGAGAGAGCTGGTAATACAACCACTCAGTCTAAGGATACTGACCTTAAACTCCTAATTCAAGCTCTTGCTAACCTTGCAATGTGAGATTATGCAAACTCTTGTGCTATACATCCTTAAGCTTGTGAACATTAAAGTAAGATCAATGTAAAATAAATGTGCTGTAGGACAAATTTGATGCCTGTTGTTTTCTAATGTTACACACGTTTTTCAGGAGAGTTAAGAAGGGAGAGAGTCAATATATATTTGATTTCAACGTATGCGCCTTTTGGAAAGAATACTTAGTTGCACATCCACAAAAATTACTGCTTTGAACATTTTGATAACATTGGATTCCTTAGCCATGATCACAGCAGTGTGAGAAAATCTCAGGTACCCTAAGTACCATTTTGATAAAGGAACCATTAGATTTTTTTTCTTGACCTTAGCCCTACAGTGATGGAGACCTCTCCCTCATACCTCACAGTTACTTATTGGGTTGAAAGGTATATGGAGAATGGTCATTAGACGTCTCTACAGCCACCTGCTGCTGACCACTCGCCTCCTACAACAAAGCAGAACAGATGAGACATGTGAGCAATGAGATACAAACGTGCTACCCAGGTCTGACTGAGTCCAGCATCTTTAAAACAAGCACTCTTTAGAAATCTTTTTAAAAAAAAAAGTGATTTTCTTAGAATTTTGTAGAACTTTCAAGGTGAATTATTTCCCTAAGAAGTTCAAATATCTGGTACACCCAAAGAGCCTTGCACCCCCACACATTCAACTTATCAACCAAATCTCTTATCCCTTGGGGCCAGATGTGACTTGAAATTCAGTGTTTTCAGATTTTAGGATCTGAAATATGGTATGCATATGCAGTACCTCATTGAATATACACAGTGGGGGTCCAAGGCTGTACCTCACAGGTCTGCACTGGAAGATCTAAATGTGCACAGTAAGTGGAGAAAAGATTTGTGTCTTGCATCAGTTTGGACTGGGTATTGCTACAGGTCAAGTTATTTGCTCAAGTAATTACGGAGAATTTTTTGTTTTAATGTGTTGTGTGTTTTTGTGTGTGTGTGTGTGTGTGTATTTCAGAATTACAGATAAAAGAGTTTGGGTTTTTGTAACTATGATTGTCAATAACTGCACAAATTTAAATCGACCAGATGCATACAAAACAGCAATCATCCCCCTCACTCCTCTTCCCCCCCATATTCAGCCACAGTCCTAGGGCTGCTTCTGGAATTGGAACCTATGGGATCTGCTTGGAAGGTAGAAACGATTGAATTGATGAATTTCCTTGGAATTTTAAGGGCACTTTGCTGGAAAATGCTATTTTGTCCAAGCTTAATTCAAATCTTACTTTAAATGTCAGACTTATTTCATGTCAATATTGTATTAGTATCTTCCATAACAAGAACTAGGAGTTATACAAACTGCCTCTATGAAAACAGGTATGGTTTGTTCTTCTTCCTGCAAAAGTTTTGAAATATCATTTTCAAGTATCTTAATTATAACTGATTGTTTTTGTAGTTATTATGATTGATATAATCTTTGGTGCTAGGATTACTGACTCAGTTTTAACTTAATTTGCCTGTAAGTACCATTTTACAGGAGACAAGATAGAGCCTTGAAAGGGAAATGAAATGTATTACAAGCTTGGAAAATGTTTCTGGGAGTCTTGGGGGTGTGGCCTAATTTGTATGCAGAGAATGATGATTCATAGTTATAAAAAAAAAAACAACTCTAGGTATATACTCCCTCTAAACGGAAATCTTTATGCGAATGTTTGATTTGATCGATTTTTCTTTGAATTTCATCTAATTTACCCATTTCTGAAACTATTCATTGCCAGAAGGATCCGTACCAACCTCAACAGGAACTGCCGTCGTCTGCACGTGTGTGTACTGTGGCAAATAGGCTCCTTGCATAGCTGATGTTGCAGGCATGTACTGACAGGAAGAAAAGAAGAGTATGTCAGGATGGGCCAGGACAAGCCATGCAAAATTCCAAACACTTGGGGAATTTTGAGGTGGGATGACAAGTATTTGAAAATCTTCAAGAAGAAATTTAAATGGGCTCAAATTTTAATTAGTATGCTAACATCAATATATCATATGAAAGGCAAAGTGAATGCTTTCTACTTTTTGAATTTATTAAAGAGAAAATCCCACCTTTCTCGGAATTTCCTAACAAAGAAGCACATGGATGAAGATCATTAAGGTTTCTTATCCTCAATGAACATCATTAATGTGCTATTTTAAAAGCTCTCTTCTCAAAGGGCCTCATTATTTCCCAGAAGCCTCCTGAGCTTGTATCCAGAACTGCCTCCCTAAGTGGAGACCCAAGGGGTAAATGACTTACTAGATCTTTAACAGGTCACTGAAGAACAGGAAGTGGACCCTTGCTGACAGACATCCTTTTCCAAAGGCAGGAGAGCTTTCTAGTCAACCTCATTGGGGGTGAGTGGCTGTGTAGGCTTCCACAAGAAGCTACTGCTAGTTTTGAGTGTAAGTGGGGAAAACACCCTAATACCCTTTGTTCTTTTAAGCCACCATAGATATGGTCTGTCTTAAAAGCCCTTGGTTGTTTTATCCAAACACTACCCATATTATTCGGGTGTGATATAAGCTCAACTTCAGTGCCCTACTAAGTCGCCTAGATCTGGGGAAATAATTAAGTAGGGAATCATGATTCAGTGTCCCCAAATTCCATAAAAAACATAAGTGAGGAGAAATCCCTTGTCTTTGCCACCATGTATCACCTTCATCTTTTGATTCAGGAGACAAGGTCTGTCAGAATGAGTGAACAGAACTGATTACTGGGGCTGGGTGTAGCCATATATGGGTGCTACGTTCTGGTAAAGAAGAGATGCTCAGGGGCCAACTTTTAGTTCATCAACTAAACAGGGAATATCTGAGTATTTACTATGAGGAAGGCAAGGTATGTGTGTGGAGAGGAGATGTCAGGAGGTCAGACAAATCGTTGACATCACAGAGCATGTGACTGAGAGGAAAGACACTGGCTGCATTAATTTATACTCTTCTCTTTGCCAAGACAGATGATATTAAAATGCCACCTACTGTTCCGGTGTTTCCTAGTGACAGATGACTCATCTGCTGGGCCAGAGGGTTGATCATAGATGTGGGCTGTAGTGACATGGCGTGCTCCATTGAGGGAGTTAACACGGCACCCTGGGAAGTTACAAGAGCCATGTAAGATACATGTTAAGATAACAGGGAGAGTTAAAATTATGTAATCACTTTTTGCAAAGGAAAAGCCTGTGTGTTAAGCAATGAGGAACAAAAATACCTCCCCTCAGATTTGCAAATGGCATAAATTACCTCCTTAAACTCTTCTAAAGTGTATTTTCCTGATACTTTTTAAGGAGCAATCCCTTCATGGAAATCCCTGTATTAACCACCTCTCCCTTTACCTTCACTAAACTATGAAGCAAAGCTTGTCCAGCAGGAGGAGCTGTAACAGAAAATTCAAACTATTTTTGGCTGGCTGAGTTACAAAAAGCTTATTTTTAAAAAATACATGGCAGTGGATGATTTATATGGCCACAAAATAATATGCTATATTGAATATTATAAATACCATGTTTTATTTAAAAAATGTTCTATAGAGAGAGCCATTTGATTCAAGATCAAGATCAAGATCACATTCTTCATTCACTCAGTATTTCCCAGCACTTTCAGCTACAATTTGGGGCCAGGACAGGGAAACTGATTCAGATATAATGAATAAACCAATTTCAGATTATTTGACTTCCTATTTTAAAATTCTGGTCATTAAAAGTAAAATGTAATTAAAATAAACAAACAGGAGAGGTGGGAAAAATCACCAGTCACCCACCCACTCTCTCTCCCCTACATCACTGTGAGCACCATCAGGCTCCCACTGCTGCCCAGATTATAAACTTGGCATGTTTTTACAAGTTGCAATGAAGGTACACAAACAATTTCATATCCCAGGTTTTTGCTTTTCACTTAACATTCCATTATAAATATCCACCTAAACTACTGCATAACTGTCATTGTCACAATTTTCAAATATTATATAATGGTACACTGATTACATAAACCAATATTTAATTAATTCTATTTATGGATTTTTACATTTTCTCTAATTTACCTTATATGATATTCTTATGGATTATATAATTCCTCCCACTTTTGCCTGAGAATACAATTATTCTCACACTACAAACTTAATGGTAAGGGTTTGGCACCACTGTACAGGACATATGCCCTAAATAAAGTTATTTATTGATATTAGATGCACAACTGTGGGCCGAGATCGATGTGCAGGCACTTTAACTCTGGCTGCAAGCAGCCCAGATCTGGTGGGAAAGGAAATGAATCCTCAGACAGGAACCTTCTGTACACTACGGTCTCCTTAACGACGTTCAACTGACCTATGCGCAGCTTTAGCTCCAAAAGTTGCCAAGAAAATATAGATGTGTCAGGAATAGTTTGTTGTTAATACATTTCATTAAAAAATTATGAACCAGGAGGATCCCTGTTCGATTCCTGGTCAGGGCACTGTCTGTGTTGCGGGTTTGATCCCCAGTAGGAAGCCTGCAGAAGGCAGTCAATCAATGATTTTCTCTCACCAGTGTTTCTATTCCTTTCTCTCTGAAATCAATAAAAATATATTTTAAAAAAGATTCCTATTTTGTGTTAGTTATTAGAAAGCTTAGGGCCAAAGGTGTGGTTTTCTCATGACAAGCATGGAGGTCCAAATTGGGCATTCTTAGCTTTTTTTGTGTGCGATTTTGTTCTCCACCTTTATTTTTTCAGTGTTAAAAAAGACATTTCTTTCTTAAAATTTTTTTTTATTTTATTACATTTTTATTTTATTCATTTTTAGAGAGGAAGGGAGAAATATCTATGTGAGAGCAGAACATCATTCTGGCTGGCTCTTGCACGTGACCCAGCCAGGGACTGAACCCGACACTCTAGCATGTGCCCTGACCGGGAATTGAACCTGTGACTGACTCTTCAGGGTATGGGACGATGCCCAATCAGCTGAGCCTTACTGGCTACGGCTATTTTTTTTTTTTTCCAACCTGTTAAGCCCATGTTTTAATTCAACAATCTAGATTTTATGTATTTTTGAAAAACACATTAAAATACACTAATAAGGTGAAGCATAACTTACTCAACTAAAAGAAATATATTGTATACACAAGTGCAACAAATGATCATGTTACTAAAGAAATCACACTTATTTACCGAAGAAGGTGTTACTACTTTTGTATTTATAGTTTCTGTGGAGAGGCTAAGAAACTCCAATAAAAATCTCTAGATTAAGCCAAAACCGGTTTGGCTCAGTGGATAGAGTGTCGACCTGCGGACTGAGGGGTCCCGGGTTCGATTCCAGTCAGGGGCATGTACATTGGCTGTGGGAACATCCCCAGTAGGGGGTGTGCAAGAGGCAGCTGATCGATGTTTCTCTCTCATCAATGTTTTTAGCTCTCTATCTCTCTCCCTTCCTCTCTGTAAAAAATCAATAAAATATATTTAAAAAAAATCTCTAGATCAATTTTGAACACTCTATATTTGCATTTAATAGAATGTAAAAAATAAGGGTGTTATCTCAAGTGCTGCTAAAAATTAGCAATTAAAAAAAACAAAACCCTTACAACTTAAAAAAAAAAATTAAGAAGTAAAAAAGGTAAAGAAAAACAAAATTAAAAGAAATTTAAAAAGTAAAAAACTCAATTTAACGATCTCCTACAGAACTGGTAGAAGGAAGAAAATGGTGCCCTGCCTTCAATATGGCGTATTTTAAATTCTGACAGACTGCAAATATAACTTGTTAACTACCAAGTTGTTTTAAGACAAAGGTGAGAGTTTTATAATGAGCTTATGCTTTCACATATTACATGCTTAAAATCCCCCAGAGAATGGCTTTAACATATACATGGTTTACTTTCAAAGCACAAAGCCATCATGGTGAAAACTTACCGGGTGCTGTAGGATATACGGTTGAGGTTGCATCCAAGAAGGACTTTGCACCTGGGAAAGGGAGGATTTTGAAAGAAACATTGATTTCCATTGGCATGCTACCTATTTCTCTAGAACTCTTTTAATCATGTTAAAATCTACAGAAGGAAATTAAGGAAACAATACTATCAATGATTAAAAAGATTATTAAGGCAGTTAGAGTTCTTGGCAAACTGGTCACTCTGAATAGGATGAAATGATTATTTAAAACAAAATTCCATTTGCCCACTTAACCAGTATTAAGGTGTGTGAGTACCAGGCACCAAAAATGAAAAAAAAGGTGATAAGACATGGGCCCCACCCTCAAGAAATTTGCTGTCTAAAGGAAGGGAGATAAACAAGTAAAGAACTCCAATCAATAGTGAAAAGTGCTATCACCAAAGGAGAAACTAGATACTTCAGGAACACAGATGAATGAGAATTAATTCCAGCACATCTTATGAGAAACTCATAAAGTATGTGCTTATTTAAAAAGAATAATCAAATTTAACCCCTCTTGGAACCCAGGTCATTCATTAGGTTTTAGAAATCTTTTTTGGTGATCAACAATTTTTAGCTAGGGTGGAAAATAAAAATCTGAAATTCAGATTTAGAAAATGAAACTTTAGCAACTAGTAGATCTTGACATCGACAGTCACTAGGGCATCCACACAGTAGACCCTCTTGGATTGAGAAATAAGATGTGAGAGTCAGGTTTTGTGGCAGAAAAGAAAGCAGTCTGCCCTTCAAGAGAAAAACAAAAAGCAAAAAACAAAAACAAAAGCAAAAACAGTCCATTTCTTGATGCCCAGAAATTTCCTGAGATTAGGTAAAATTTTTAGAATATGTTTCAGTCTATACTTCTTAAGAACAAAACCCTCCTGTGTCTTATCCCCCGCTGTTAACTTCAGAGGTTCTATAGAGAGGATACGAGGGGAGAGTCATGGGGGAAGAATGCATTAGGAATTACCTTGATAGCAGAGCCCCGATACTTGTTCTCTCTGGTTTCCTTTGCCACCTAAGGCAGATCAAAGTTAAGTGCTTCTGCCTTGTTAACATTTCAGTTATCTGGACTGCAGCCTTTCCCCATCGGGGTACTGGTTGTTTCTTGTGGGTGCCAATTTCTCAAATCCAATTGTATAAGCACATGGTGGTTTAGTGCAGGAAGGCCCACTGCAACACGAGTGCAAGGCCTTCACTGAAGAAATCATGGGGAGGCGAGCAGCTCCATGGAGACCCCAATTTGGGACAGATGCTCCCATTTTTTAAATATGCTTCAGTGGTCTTGATAATCTAACATAGCATTATGGGGTTAGGGAGCTAGGACATCTAACCCAATTTTCTTTTTTAAGCAGCAAATCAGCTGCCGTCAATGACTAGTCCTCATTTTCCCCTAACTATAAAATGGGAATAATAATCTATGTCCTATGATATTTTTTTCTTTTCTTTCTACCCTTGATTCTTGACCCTTGTATAGGTCATGGAGCCCACCAAAAAACTGATGACAGATACAGACCTCTTATTCCCTCCCTCCCCTCCCCCCACCCTACCCAGCTAACTGCACACATACAAGCAACATTTTGCAAACAATTTAAGGGAATCACAGAAAGATCACTTAAAGCTCATCTGCTGACCCTATTAGGCCCCTGAACTGATGGAGTTAGCAATCAGTCTTTGAGGTTATGGCATTGAGTGAAAGGCAAATTAAAAAAATTCTACACGTATCTTAGGAAAACACAGAATGCATAAGGAAAAAAAAATCAGGCCTTTGAAATGAAATGTTGTTTCTAGGTAGGCATATCATATTTATTACAAACACTAGTCTCCTGATTTTTTAATTCTATGAAACAGTTCTGTGGCAAAATGTTCAATGCTTTTATAGAAAGAGGTTGTGGGGAGATGCATTAAGAATTGTATCTACAGCAGTACACATTCCAATTAATATGCACAAACTTTCATTCGCCTGAGAATAAGCTTACTTGTGCCTATTTTATTAATATCCATAAAAGGCAGAGGGTTCCAAGTTCAGATAGTTAAGAGAACACTACCTTTCAATATCAAAACTGTTAATTAGGGAATTGTTAATAATTAGGGAAAATGCACTAGAGAGCAGATCTGAGTTTTAAATAGGCAAAGAAAACATAGAAATCTTAAATTCAAAATAAGTAGAGAGGCATTAAATGAGTGAATATTTTGTCCAGCACACTGAAACACCAGCATAAGTAACATAACAACCCAGAGAGATAAGAGAAAAAATAAGAGACAATTCAGGGAAAGGAGGAGGAAAGAACCTAAAAGCTGAGGGAGGCTGTGAATGGGATTTTAAAATTTCAGTTTTAGTGCATTTGATCACTACTTTTTGTTATTCAAAGCAACTTTTATAAATCACCTTTATGATATTGCTTATGTTGCCCAATCTATTATTTTTTAAAAAAGTATAATGAATATATTCTCATCAGCCAGCTAAACCTGCACATTAATAATGATGATAATCATCGCTAACATTTATTGATTACTAATGATATGCCAGGATAATGTGCTAAGCTCTATACATAGTCTCATCTAGTTCTTATGACAAGCCTATGAGGTAGAATCTATTATTATCCCCATTTTAAAGATGAGGAAACTGAGGCTTACAGAAGCAAAATAAACAGTTATTAGATACTACAACCCCCTAACCCCAGAAATCAGGACTACAACATCTCATCCCATTGTTTTAAAAACAAGAATACACAAGAGTTTAGTTTAGTCATACAGGATCGCAACAGTCAACAAAAGAGAACCATACCCCTACGTGTCTGTAATAGAACTCCATTATAATGTTCCTGTCTGGGCCAATGTGGAAACCCTATTAGAGGCATTCTGCTAAAGAGAAATTGTATGTACACTGGGTTCGTGAAGAACAGAAGCTAACCCTGCAATAAAACCAAATCAGTATTATAACAAGATGCTTAATGAGATCTTGGTTCTAAGTTGGGAATTTATTTAATATAAAGCCTTCCCACAGGGAGTGACCTCTTTTTTTTTTTGCCTACAATTTCACTTTATTGCTCATTTAATGGTACCTAATAGAGACACATCTTTATTAGCATGTTTACTTGCTATTTTGTTAGCTCCTACTGATGAAGAAACAAAGGCAAGTGTGCACACCTATTCGATATTTCGCCTGGTATTTCTGGGACACGGGGTGTCCAGCAGCAGGGCTCAATGCAGGAAGTACTGGAGTTCATCCCCATTCTAAAAGGCTAAGATTTCAAGGACTGACAACTGGAAATCATTTTCCCACCTTTCATCCTCTTATACATAAAAAGTAAATCACTCTGTCAAGTAACAAGCAGCTTATTCTAAATCGATATCCAAGCTACATAACATTTGACTCAAATTGCATTATAAATGTTCAAAAATTTTAAGACACAAAAATGCAGCAAGTTTCTGTACTCTTGATGAATCCTAATGGTACAAACCTGGTAGGCAGATACAGGAGATGCAAGATAGGGTGCGAGAGAAGCTTGGGTGATCATTCTGTTTGCAGCAATACTGTATGGTGAAGGGTAAAATCTAGAACAAACACAAAAGCCTGTATTAAGTAATCCTTTGAACAGAGCATTTCACGGAACAAATGTCTGATATTTTCCACCTTTCCATTTTCCCTCAAGCCATTATGTATGTATCTTAATGACATACCCGTTCTGTATAGCAGCTGTGGTTGGGTCGTAAGTGAGTGTCATTCCAGCCTATGGGAATGAAGAGAAAGAGAAACATCTGCAAAGGCACAATTAAAAAATTCTATTTCTTAGAGTCAGGACATGAGACAGTGAGGGTTTAATAGCATTCGATAAAAATAGGAGTTTCTGTTAGCAAACAGAATTTACAAACTCCACATGAGAATTAAAGCTCTAGGTCTGCACTGTCCCAGATAGAAACCAATAGCCACTCGCAGTTATTTAAAGTTAAATAAAAAACTGAGTTCCTCCGCCATCCAAGCTACATTTAAAGTGTTCAAATAGCTACACATGGCTAGTGGTTATCATTGGTCATATTCCAGAACATTTATTTCTACTGGATGGCTTTTCCCTAGAAATTCTTGAACCAAATGTTACTTTTAAAAACAAACAATTCATTGAAAATAAACATGGAGAAAAGGAGGTCCAACATCTTAATTAAGGAATTGAGCTTTTTTTGTTTTGTTTTTTTGTTAAATAAAGAACATTACTCAAAAGAATTAGGCAAAAAAAAAAAAAAAAAAAAAAGAAAAAGAAAAAAAAAAAAGAAAAAAAAAAAGAAAATCCCTCAATGACAAATATACTATTTATTTTAATAATGTTATTTAGAATGACTTCTGAATAGTTATAAATATAAACCTCTCTCAGAATCCATGGCATTTGAAGTGCTCTTTTACTTGAGGTGTAGTAAACATAGCTGTTTCCACCATTTACCTGTCCAGCTAGCGAATTGTCCCTCTCAGCACCATTTCCACGGGGAAAGTTTTAATTCGACATTATGCGGATTATTCCAGGAGTGTGGCGGCCAAGTTCAGATGATGCTTGTGCAACTAGTCACAGGCTCTCAGAATCATGCACCCACACTAAAGTTTCAGGAAAGAACTTACAAGTCTCACCTCTCCTTCTCTATGCCATGGTCTTCCATTGGGGATGTATTTGTTGGGGTTCTGTCTCTTCTTCTGTCCTCCATCCGCAAACTTACACAACAAAGGTTCTGTTGGAGCTAAATACACAGGGAGAAACAATATGAAACCAAATGTGTGTGTGTGTGTGTGTGTGTGTGTATACGGAAGACAATGTGACTGAATTGCTTCTTTAACAGCAGCAGTGTGAACTAATAGAACACTTCAAGGAAAAAGTTTGCTCAGACCCTTATTAGATTATCCACTGGTGACAAATATATTGTTATATTCAAACCAGAATGTAATGAGAACACCTGAACAGCAATTCTGAGGACACGTAAGATTCACTTCTGCCACTCTTTAAGTGTAGATACACTTTTTAAATTTTTGGGCCCTCTCCAATTCCACCTCTATAAACCTCCAAATGTAAACGTGGTTATGTCCATCTTCTCCTCCCTACCTTAAAAAGACTCCCATAATTCCTTCAGAGAGGCCTTTACTTCCCCGGAAGAAACATGTTTCCCGTTTGACCTCTCACATGTATTTTTATTCATCCTGTTTATAACTACTGGTGAGTGTGTTGATTTGTTTGGTGTCTATTTCCCCTCAAGAGTGTAAGCTCCACGGGGGCAGTGACATCTGTTCTGTGCATTGCTTTATCCCCAGAGTCTCAGGATCTGGCATAGTATGGGTGCTCATTACATCTTGGTTCAGTCAATGCATTTGTTTGGTTTTGGGATACAGCATTGAAGACAGCTGTTGGGAGAAAGCTGAAAACCAGTGAACACCCTATTTCAAGGTTTTTTCTGTGCCTTTAACCATCCCACTCAGTGTTGCTTTACTCTACGTCCACATCATAAGATGACCCAAAGAACTCAAGAACACAGGAAAGCAAAGGATGCAAAGATACGTACACATAAGCTAAAAAGACAGAGGAGAGAGAGAGAAAGAGAAGAGAAAAGAAAAAAAAGGGCGATGCACAGCTGGCCGCCGTGACTTTTCTTGGCCTTTCTAGAATTGGAAACAGTAGTGTATTCCTGAAAATGGTGCATGTTTCTGTGTGTTTCTCCTTAAGGCAATAAAGGCAATCACACCTTCCTGTCTGGCTCTCACATTCCATCCTTTGTCTACTACAGAACTGTGATTACTACTTTCAGGTTCTGTCTCAAAGTTAAATAACCATGAAGAGAAAAATATTACTTGTGGAAAATTTACTCCTTTCTCCTTTGCCTCTTATTATCCTAATTCATCTCTCATTTTATATCACTATTACCCACCCACTAATGACAGGGTGGAAGCAATAGTGTCTTTCAACACTTCTCTGCCAAAATACAAAACACAACACAGAATTCAACTGTAATTCCTTCTCGGGGGCTGTCTAGGCTGTAGTTTGGCATGATCTCCTCCTCTCCCCGTGAGGCCCACTCCAAAGGATGTGTGGGAATGTGAGCTCACTTCAGAATGACAACTGTGCCGTGGATACTAGGAGGTGAGAGCAAAACCATGAGGCATCTGGTGAGAATCCAGGGAGCCATGGCCCTACCTTTCACAAAGGGTCCTTTGTTTTCCTTCTGACTCCTACCACACCCTAACGCCCCCAGGCTCACCTGAACAAGGAACTTCCATGTAAGGCAAACTGGGTGTGAAGTTAGATGCACGGGGGCCAAATCCTAGACAGTAGATGAGCTACTCTCTTTAGTCTTGGGGAAAAAAAAAAAAAAAAAAAAAAAAAAAAAAAAAGGAAATATTGGCTTTAAAGTAAATGGTTGCAATGAAGCAAGAGAGCTTTCCAATCACTGATGGTGCCTTTAGTTCTACACTTGGGCCACATAGGGGCAGATGGAAACTACCAGGGCCAAAAGAACACAGACATTCAAAGCAAAGGAAGGGATAAAAAGCAAACTCTGCTGAGATGAGGTCCAGTGGCCTCAGATGTCTCACCTTGACTTCTAAGGACAAATCAAGAACTTAAACAAAAGAAGCAAAATCTCACTCTCCACAGATCTGGAAAGGTCCTTCTGGCCCTAAATGTTTTCTCCAAAGACAGCTGAGGTTTTAGGATTCTGCTTTCCCATAACCTTGGAGGGCAGAAGAGAGATAATAAATTTTGTGTTTGTTGGCACTTTGTGCAACCTCATGTTAAGAGGATGCTTTTATCTAGAGGCATATAAAGACTAGCTCCTGGACTGAAATGTAAAAAAGAGAGAGAGAGAAAGAGAGTTTGCTTGGCATGGAGAATACTATAAAATGAGCCATTTTCTTCCATTAGTGTTATTTCTTCTAGAGAAAGAAGGGGGCCAGTTGGACTCATCGCCAAGCTCACTATAGGCTGCTTAAGCAGGTAGGTGTGAATGAAAACAGTTGGTCAATCCCTGGCAAGTGCTGAAATGCCACAGCTGTTCAAAGGCCAAGTGTCCCTGTCTGTGGTCAGGTGCTTCCAACACATTTCAATTCATCCAGAGTGCCCTCTGTCAAAAAACCAAAATAATCTCGGGCAATAATAAAGTCTGCTAAAAACATAGAGGAGTGCCCAGTAGTATCAAATCAAATTCTAATAGTCTGTTTAGCAGGTGAAATTTTTTTTTAGTGCCCACTAAGGTTAAAGTATAGTGTTAAGAACTATGGATACAGTGGTGGGTAAAATAGGCTGGCAGTCTAATGGGGATGAGAGTGTGCCAACCTTATAGAAACAGATTTACCATTTATGAAACAGTGTGCTGTTTTCAGAGATGTTATTTTTAATAAAAATGCCACCCAGAAGTGATATACTTGATACAGGAACAGCTCCAGTTCTTCCTTTTTTTTTTTTTTTTTTTTTTTTTGTAACTACATTTTTATTGATTTTAGAGGAAGAGGAAGGGAGAGATAGGACAGAAACATCAATCAGCTGCTTCCTGCACACCCCTTATTGGGGATTGAGTCCTTAACCTGGGCATGTGTCCTGACCAGGAATTGAACCAGCTGACCCCAGCACGGGACAACCCTCAACCAACTGAGCCATATCTGGCGGGTGCTCCAATTATTTTACAGCTGGCACTCCCTGCACTTGGATGACATTATGAGAAGCAGCTTAACCCTGTTAAATCCTTGATGTCTTGTTCGTTACAAAGAGTGTACCAGGTGCTCCAGGAAAGCAACCATGTGAAAATTTCTTTAAGACACTAATGCTGTCATTAAGCTGAGCAAGGGTTAGATGAGTTCAGTTAAGAGTTTTGAAATGAAAAGCAAACACACACCCCGATCTATCATGATCCACTTGTTCTTAAATGTATGTAAGCTTGTTACAAAATGAGAGATTCTTATTTGACTGGCATTTCCTGTGGCTAATTCCAAACCAGGGAATAGTCTTCAACTTGCTTGTTTTTTGGAGCCTAATACACAGGTTCCAGGTATAAGATTGGGAGACACCGTGCCATGCCAGTTTGTTCTACAGACCGGTCCTTCAAGTAGCCTCTGACTGCTCTTTATAGGAGGGAAATATTGAGGGGCTGGCATGCAGAAAAGGAAGTGCCACGAATACCAGCATATGACTGTGACTAATCGGTAAGTTTGGGTATATTATGTTAAAAAAGTTAGTATGAACTGTCAACCCATAACTTCTCTATGGTCTCCTTTCTAGATTAGCAACTCTTTACCTTGACGCATAAAAAATAATTGTAGAAAGTTCTAACAAATGATTTATGGTTTTAGATCTATTCTTGCGTTAAGGTGATATAAAAAAAGATAAAAAGTTGCCCCTAAGCAATTTATTTCACCAGATTGTGTACCTCAGATTTTACCCCTACCAACAGTCTATAAAATATAAACTGCCTTAGACAGAAGCGTTTCCTGCAGTGTGGAACACTAACCCACTCTTCCTTTCTGATAAAGTGAACTACTTTCAAAATCTGCCTTTAAAAACTTCAACCTAAGCAACAACATTTTTTTTTTTTTTTTTTTTTTTTTTTTTTTTTGGTGAGATCTTTCAGGTCAGATTCTCTTCTTAATATCCAAGACAGAAAAGTTTCTTGCTTGTTCATCAGAACCAACAGGAACATGTACCTCTAAAAGTTTAAGTCCTGTCACCTAACCTTCAGCAGGCAAGGCCACACAGGCAAACACTGACCTGACCTTTTCTGGCCCCTCAAGAGCCACCTGGGGTAACTGCATTCCTGGATTCTCCAACATGCCCTGGACAGGGCTTTGCAAGCAGGGTGATCTACAAATGTCTGGCTGTGGGGCACTCCCATGCCTCCCCTAAAGGACGATGAGCCATCTGGGTGATCCCCAGGATGACTCACTGCACATCTCCACCAAGCGGCTTCCTTATCTCTCTTTTGAAGCTCAAACTCTGCAATGATTTATGCTCCATTTTCTCCCCTTGATACCGACACTAAAACCGCTTCTAAAATGCCTGCTCTGACTAAGCACCAAGCTTCTGATTTGGCCTCCTGGAAGTCCTCACATCTCTAAGTGCTTGGAGGACTCAGTCCTCTGTGGTTTGTTGGGCCTTTTTCTCACCGAGTTCTAACAGCTGGAGAAATGGCTACGTCCAAACGCCCCCCCCCCTTTTTTTTTAAGGTATGTAGCATTTTAGCCCGATCAGCATTCTATAAAACACAAACAGCCCTCGATAGAAGCTTTTCCACCAGTGGTAGGAACTAGCCAACTCAGCAACTGCAATTAGCTTTCTTCCTGAGGCTGGTACCTACTTTCAAAATGCCTCAACTAACAACATGCAAGGAACTATCTGGGACTTTTCTTTTAAAAACTCAACCTAAGGATCTAATAAAAATGACTATTCATTTTTTCCCCCCCCGGTGTGTGCGCACCAACGACATCCCTTCCAGCTCTAGCCCCTGATTTCTAACCAAATCCTGCTGCCCCGCTCGATCACGACTCAGAGCTCCAGATTCTCTCTACAGATGCCCATCCTTCACACGTCTCCTTTCCTGCCTTTATATAGTGCTTCCATCTCCCACTCAGCTTTACCTGGCAGTGAAATAATAATCCAACACTATTAAAGTCAGGGTAAGTAAAATACAAAATTGTCATCGTTTCCCATCCTTCTAACATAAATATTTTACTATTCTATGTTTACTACTTTTCTAAGTCTGTATTT